CTTATACATTTACAATTGTGGATTGTCAAATTTTACACACAGTGACACTGGTTGCAAATGCCCTTAACTCTTCTTGTGGGTGATGTCCCAGGATTTTTGACTCAATGATCAGCAAGTTATTTATATTCACCAGTCGGTTATTTAGCCTTGCAAGAAGAATAGTTTTTTTATATTCTGCGCATAAAAATATATGGAGAATGGAATGTCTTTTAAATTGAAACTATAAATATCCTTTGTAAAATGCCCTGGATAATTTGTCTAAATTTGGGCACAAGTCCATATAAATAAAACCCCACCAAATATTCCCTCCCCCCCGTAAATAATTATGCAGGGAAACTGATGAAAATTTCAACACATAAAAATACTTCACATATTCCAATCAGGTACCAGCACTGCAGTATACCAGACTGCCAGAGGAAGTTCTGGACATTGCTCGTTAGTTTTAATGACATACACAAATAATTGCACCCATAATTACACTTATCAATGTGTGCGTGAATTTCAATACAATTGCATTGTAACATTTCTGAATTTATTTTGCACCTATGGTTGTTGCAATGCAATATTTAATTCGAAGTGCTGTACTTGTACCTAGTGGGATGCACTCCGATGTAATCACCTAATTATATTTTGTCCAATTACCAAAAAGGGGTTACACAACCACTTGACCTCATTGCTGCAGATATTACAACCTAATTTACCATTTTAAAATCAACAATACAAATAAATATGACCAAACTTGACTCATGTAATACACTGTTAGCAAAACCCACAGTGTCGCCTTTCAGGGAGGATGTAGGCTGTGGCATGGATACCGTGCAGGGACGAAACTATTTAATGTATATGGGGAGAATCAGTGTCACGTTGACATGACAAAACACGAATAAGCAATATTAAACAGCTGTCTTGCTACAAACACGGCATTGATTAGCATGGTGGGCTATGTACGATGGGAAATAAGTTCAACATACATAGATGGACATGTAACCTCTGTGAATTGGGGAATTCAAGTTTTTTAAACACTATACAATCATATAAAAGTCATACTCTGTGTTTTTCAGTATGAATGGTTCTACTCCTGCAAAAATGGTTCTTGACACACGTCGTCTTTATGAAACCAGAATAATCATATTAAGATTATAGGACAATTTAATGTTTATTGATCATCAAAAAGAAATGTACGTGGAGGGAGTCAATCAGCTTCAAAGATTACAAAAAAGCACTTTGTTATTCCGAACAAAACATTTTAAAATCTATCGCAAATATGTTTTATTTATTCAGCAAAAATTTTAAATATGGACTTCACCATTCCAGTAAAGGCTTCTTATCTATTGTTACAGAACGCTGTAAAGGTAATATCTATACATATGTAGGGGTGTTAAAGTGAGGGCCCGTTATGTATGGCAGTCTATGGGAAACAAACACAGTGGGCGGGGCTACGTGTGTGCACAGGGAGATGCCCTCTGCGACGTCCGAGCCAGACACCCTGGGGGGGGCTGGTTTGGCGTTATGATCCCCCGGGGCCCCACCCCTCAAGGAGGGTTGGTTATAAAAGGGGACGTTATAGGGGCTCGAGTTCAGTTATGTTATAAGTTAACCAAGAAGACGGAAGACGTCTTAGATAGAGCCCTGGACTCCCCTCGTTCGATGTCCTTATCAGGGCCGAACAGGACTGAGCCAGCGGCGTGGTCCCGAGAGCCAGAGCCGGTGCTCTTCTAAGAGCTGGTCTGGGACTCCGGGTACCGGGCCCGACTTACCAGTGTCGGGCCAAGTAGCCTCCCCTAGCCAAATAGTGGAGGACTGTGAGGCAGGCTAGGACTAGCTAGGACGTGTATCCTTAGCTAGTCGGGTGAGGGGGCCGATACCCCCTCCAGTGCTGTATGTCACGTACGAGCTGTGTTAAATAAATATACGTGTGCCTCCACCTCGGTGTCAAGTGTCTTCACCGGTACTTCACATATAAAAGGGGTTCAAAATGTTTAGCGTACTTCCCGACATGCAACAAACTTGAAATTTGCCATGTGGGTACTTTCCAGACTGTACACTATGCAAAAATTATAAAAATAGACTTTTGTATTTTTTTGGGGGAAGGGGGGTGCAATAATGCTTATATTTTGCACCGCAAGTAAGCTGTGACGTCACATCTGTCATGTGACCCGTGTGCGGAAGCGTAACGCAGTGTGCCTGCTGATCGCGGGTAAAGTGAAATACAAATGTGTTGCAGGTCTAAGGCGTTCTTGGCGCCGGCCTTCATAGGTGCTCGCTAACAGCACTTGCCCCCTGCATTCTCACAGGCTACACGGGGGATCTTTGTCTTGTGTGTGGGGTGTGGGGGGCAGCGACTGCGTAGCGATTCGCGCACTGCTACGAACCCGGCGACCCGAGTTCGATTCCCGCTCACGGCCACCACCGGTGACGATTATTTGAACCGGTCCTGGGCCTCCCCTAGGTCGACTCAGCCTCAAACGAGTCAGTGGTGTGGTGTGTCAACATCGCCACTGGGGAGACAAAGACGGCCGGCCTTGGTGAATCCAAGTCCCGGGCGAAGTCCGGTAGTAAAGCTAGTTTATAGATATTTATATTCCAGAACAGTGCTTGTTATGTGCGTAACATTACAGAATTCGCATTTTAGTTTACCCTCAAATCATCAATCATAAAATGCAAACATAAGTCACGCTTCGAACATTAACGTCGAATATATATGATTAAGTTGAATTTGTAACACAATTTTCGATTCCCCCGTTGCTTACTGAGAGAATAATTCAGAGGTGTGGGAAACCACAAAGCTGGGTGGCAGCCAACAATATCCGAAGCTCTGTGGTCCTATATTGGGATGTTTGGCCAACTCCAGGGATGTTTAGCAAACTGCAAAATGTATTTGGTGTCCTGTTCTTAATGAGGAGCTAAACAGTTTGTCTGTTCAGGTAACACGTGTCTGTGCGTGTGTCATATATGTGTAGTGACATCGGGGATGTCACTGTATGGTGCCGGCCTGGGAGGGCCGTGGCATGCGATGTTCTTACGTCGCGGACAGCACTGAGTGGGTTGCTGTGTGATGCCGGCTCTAGCACAGCACGGCGTGCGATGCACCGTCATCGCGTACACCCCGTAGACGGGTGTAGTACCAGCCCGAGCGGGGCTTGGTGATCGCTGGGATAGCGCGGGCACCACGCATAGCGTGCGGTGGGGGCTCCCACAAGGAAGAGCGGGAGAGTGTCAGCCCAGGGGCAGGGTTGCCCCGGGTCATGGCACTCTGCTTGACCCCGTAGACACGTGATCTCGAGTGTCCACAGAGAAGGCCCCAGGTGGGGGGGGGGGGGGGGCTAGGGGGTGATCACGTGTCCAGGGAGAGCTCTCGAGGGGGATCGAGATGGAGCTAGAATGCTCGAGAAGGCGGGCGGGGCCAAGGGTGGAGCCAGCCCCGACCCGGGAGGATAAAAGGTGGGTCCCTGAGAGGGACCGGGGTCGCTTCGTTCTACAAGCTGGAAGGTCTACGTCTACAAGCTGGAAGCTCCACGTCTACAAGCTGGAAGCTCTACGTCTACAAGCTGGAAGCTCTACGTCTACAAGCTGGAAACTCTACGTCTACAAGCTGGAAGCTCTACGTCTACAAGTTGGAAGCTCTACGTCCTACGAGGCATCAACACGTGGCCAGGGACCCGAGTGAGGGTCCGACCCTTCGTAGCTGTAACTCCTACGTATAGTGCAGTTAGCTGGGTGGTCACCATCCCAGGCTGTATCTGGTAAAGGGGCAGTTACCCCTTAGTATATACGTGTTACAATAAGTGTGTTGCCTCTGAAGAATAACGTCTGCGACTCAGTTGGACTCACTACATATGTAGTCATTCAATCACACAGAAACATTTAAATCACAGCAGGATCTCCGTTGCAGTGAGCACCTCGGCCAGAGGTCATTTGTGTTTACAATGTTTCATGCCAATGCTTTTCTTACCATTTTCATTGGATAGTGCACGATTGTTCTGAAATGTTCAAATGAAGGCGAATCACTTTAAAATCCCCTCCAGAAAGATATTGACTGATATTGTAGTACTGCTAATTTGAATAATGTGTTCCATTGTTGAGAGAATTGGTGTAACAAAATTCAGGGCATTTTGGAGTTTTTTAAAAGTAGCAGCACAACGGAATGCCTTTGATTAGGATCATCCTCCAAAGTCAAAATTTTACCCGTATGACGTCACGAAAGCCTCATTTGCTTTTGGGTGCTCTTGAGGGGAAATCCTCAAATGGCAACCCTAACCCTAAAAGATTTAGCTTGGATATGGAGTGCTCAAATAGAAACCTGGGGATCACGATGACGGCCCTACTGTTGGCACAATTTATGAGAGTTACATTCGCACAAGCGTCACATCTGGCCGGTCTGGGCACTGTATGGTGGCGCACCCCCACAATGCACAGCGTCCTAACGCGCTGCCCCCTTAGGGTGCCCGCTGCAATCCCGATCCAATCCCGGCACAGTTAATCCTGGTTGAGTATAGGGCTGAACGATTTGGGGAAAATATCTAATTGCGATTTTTCTGACAGATATTGCGATTGCGATTTGATTTGCGATAAATTTTTTGAAGTCAAGCTTCAGTTCAATATTCACTGTGTAATAGATTTAAAACATGCGATGGAGCATTACCACACGATACCATCAAAATATGAACTGCTCTATATATTCTAATACAAGGATGAGAATTTAAAAGATATGAATTGCATCCAACATGTATTTATTTAAAAATGTAATTGAATAGAACAATCAAACATAGAACAATTGTTAAGTTAAATAAATATAGTTATAATAATAAAAAATAAAGCAAATCCAATAAGAAACTAATAGGACTTTTCAAATCGCAAAAAAATTGCAGTCTTTGCGATTTGCTAATCGAATTGATTAAAATTTCGATTTGAAACCGATTAATCGTTCAGCCCTAGTTGAGTGGGCTCGCGCAGCTCTTGATCCAAAAAATGTATCGATACGTGCGCTTGTAACAACTACCAGCGGCTGACTGGCTGGAAAATGAGCAGGATATGGGAGTCGTGAGTGACTCACCATTGATGTTTCCTCAAGGGTTTGTTCTTGCTGTTGCTTCTGAAATGTAATTTAAAGATGCTTTTTACTTAAGCCACTTTATTTCCACAAGAAAAGGCTTCAATTATTGTGAGCGGAAAGGCAGTTTCTGTACATGTTTGGTGGGAAAAGTCTAATTTGCTCCTATGTCTGCAAGAGACTGCCGAGAATCATGCCCCTCGTTCTTTTCAATTACCGTATGAAATGATTTGCTTTATTACGTAATGGAAATCAAGGCTTTGGAGAAAAATTAAGTCACGCGATTAATTATTTCATAATTTAATCACATAAATACAGCACAGACCTTCAATCACCTCAGTCATTAGTCAACGAATCGAAATAATAATTCAAAGACATTTACTATACTTCATGTATTTTGTTTTGTATTTCACATAGCTTCTTAAGTATGCAAATTATTCTGAAATTATTTTTTTTTGGAACCACATTACGTGCTAAACATAGCATTATGCGCTTGTTAATTTGCATATTTAATCCACAATTGTGAAACACTTCCCTTGTACGCCGTGATATACATTTAAAACGTGCCATTAAAATGTACGGTTTGTTTACATATACAAAAAAATGAATGTATATTAGATCACATTATTAGGTGGAGGAGTCTCTGCTGAGAGAAAACAGCACTTTTTGGTTACTGTTATAGTATTTTTTTTTAAAATAGTGTTACATTTTAATAGCAAATTAGAGGTGTTTCCCTAAAGAAGACGATCTGATTTGCACATCATCAGACATCAGTTAGACCAACGGTGGCACCGTGTGGGGGGGGGGTTATCAAAAAAACTACTACAACAAAAAATTGTGTTTAAAATCTAACAGCAGAAAGAACCCAAAACACAACTATCCCGAGAACATGGCATCCCCACGTGTTATGACGCCAACTCATAAGAGTGCTGATGAGACGTTCCACTTTTAAGCAGAGTTAATATAAAAACACATTGTGAAGAACACCTTCTTATACTGGCAATTGGATGCTCCCTTGGTATGGATCCCCATATGGTCAACTTGTGATCATTAACATGGCTGAGACTGAGGCATCTGGGAAAAAGTCTTCTCATTAACACTGGCATTTTGTTCCTGGGTCCCTCTGCTCAGCTATTTCTAAAATGGTACTTATACTGTGTTGTTGAGTTAAGTGTTCTTGTTGAACCTTATCTTCTGAGCACAAGTTGCTCAATCATAAGTTCCACGGTTTTGAGGAAATCATATTTTGATGCCAAATGCTACAAATGTTAAATATGCCTTAGAGCGTACGATAACACATGTTTTACCGCCGTGATTTCCTATCTACAGACTTAAACCTCGTGTCCTTTATTGTGTTCACACTGTTGTAGTCTATCACCAAGGTCCTTAAGATCTTCTGATCTACAACTGCCCAGTACTCCCAAGTCGATAGGTTCCACTTTTTTGGTGATCAGGCTTTTGTTAACGTGGAACCCAAGCTATGGAACGCCTTGCCACTCGAAATCAAGCAATCAGAGTCGGTAGATATATTTGTCTGCTTTGAAAAACCATCTCCATAAAGTGGCCTTCACTCTGTAGTTTGGTCGGTTGCCTTGGTTCTGGTTTTGTTTCCTGTTTTTCATGCATTGTGCATTTGGATCCTGGGATGGAATGCGCATTTTACATTAGAATTATTATCTTGAAGATTTTTGGCAAAACAATCGTGAACATTCTACCTGCAATTGTTATCATTGCCACATTTCTTGGCAAAGGTTTGTGGTGGATTACATTTTATACACAATTATTTATCTTCATTTAACAGATCCTCCAACACAATTGGTCAAAGAAAGAGATATCAGATTTTGGGACCTTGTAGGCATACTGAAGTGGTTAGGGTCAATGACACCCTTGGTTTATTTAAACGGAATCATCTGCTCAGATGGCGCTTCACTTCTCTAGACCCTCGCCCACAACAACGTCTTATATAATACCAGTCACTTGTTTAAGCTCAGTCAGCCCTAGAGCTTAGCTTGCTGTCTTCTAACACGAGAGACTTGATTTAAATTCAACATGAACCACAACGCCCATGGAGAGCTTTTTCCTGCCCTGTCGCCATCTTGGGATTATTGAACTATTTTACGTACATTGCCAACACCTGAGGAAACAAGTGAATCCCCACAAACAAAAAACACAAACTTTAGAATGAATCGAACATTTGTATAGAACATATACTCATACTAATATGTAAATTAATGTATTTTTCTCCTATATGGCACAACATCTACGAATGGCCTTTACAATCATCCTGCGTAACGCCAGGAATGTTACGTTTCCTCCTCTGGCTCAATGGCGTCAATGGAGTTGAGCATTGGCACAGCTGGTTTAATGAACATGGAAACACTTTAATCTTTGGTGGCAATACAGTATGTGCTTCCCAAAGGCAATCTTTTTAAAACTAAACATTAACAATACCGGTGATATTCCCTTGTTTGGGCAGTTTAATAATGATCCATCACCTGAAAGATCCCATTGACATCGTATGTGACGAGGAAATCTTGGAAATGGTTTGCGACACAAGTGGATTTATTTCACAATTGTAAGCATTTCTGAAGAAAATTTTGTCACATTTTTAGATTATTCTCCACGAGGTCTGCATACCACGGACAGACCTTTATCCCCCAAGAGCAGATGACACTTTGGTGGCTGTGGGAATTGAGATATCCACTCGATGCAAACTCGATAGCGCACACTTGCCGCTGAGCTCCACAATGTTCTGTATGATTTCAAAGTGAATCTCATTGAAGCGGACAATCCAGTGTGCACCATGACCAGGAATAGTATATAAACATGTAAGGAATGTTTTAAAGTCCATTCACAGGTAAGCCTTCAAAAACTCAGTGTTTCCCAAGGCACCCACATGCAGCGTCCTAATACTTTGAATGTGAGTGGCAAATCTGACACATTTTCAGGGCATGGAAATTGTAGTGTTAAATACATTGAATTTGGCAATGTCTGTTTTCCTGCATTTGGTAATGCTGACTGTAAACAGCATGGCAACACCTCCCTTCCCAGTGGCCCGGTTAACGTTTTGGTCATCTCAAAACGCAAAAGCTCTACAGTTTTTAAAACATGGAAAATAATATGATTGCCTTGCAGATTCACCGAGTCTCATCAGCAGGGCGTTGTCTCTTATATCGGGAATCAGTAATACGATTGTGGATTAAATGTGTATTTAATTTGAGGAATTATACAATCACATTACCTCTGTATTTATGGTTACTCATAATCTACTGAGACAGTACATAATGATTGTTTTGCATGATGTGTACATTATTGGCCAGGTGGCACTGTCTAACAATTTTAAGGTTATGGGTAAAATTGTGGTTTAGAGTTGAGTCAGCCCATTATCCCTTGAATCACTAAAAGGAATACTGCTTTGTGGGGAGTCAACAATCGTAGTGCTATGGAGAGACTGGGCTCCCACTACAGGAATGTTCAATTACACACTGGATCTGGGACGCCAACAGAGATGAGTGCGACATATAGTACACGTCAATCTGTCACTGTATGTTCCGTGACCTTTCTAATCGTCCTTACTATGCACCTGCTGTGAACATCCATGGTCCACGACGTTGTGGAATGTTGAGTTGTGTTCCTCGAAGCTCAAGGAGATGCTCCAAATGCGGGGCCATGCTGATGGGTGCGAGGCCCTGCAGATCTTCACGTAGGGCAAGGGAGACCGTCATGGCCTTCATGGACCCACCAAGGTCTGCTCCAGACGCTGGAAGCGTTCCAACATGGCTGCATAAACCTGCAGCATGACAGGGCGGTAGTAGTCAGTGATGTTCGCTACATCATGCAGCAGCAAGTGCGTGATGATCATCATTATTGCCGTCGTCGTCATCATCGGTATCTTATCCAATCCAAGGGAAATTGCAGATGATAGCGCAAACCCCTATCGCACTCGCAGTCTTTGCAAGTGAAATAAGAGTTGGTTGCGCCTAATTTCCCTTGTTTCTCAGCAGCATTGGGAATACATCGCAACGTCACAACATGGCCGTGTCCTGTCACCCCATAATGGGAGTTTTTGTGGATCCATAGCATTTGCACAAATGAGAGGAGTTTGCAGAACCCGACCTTTTCCAGGATTATCTAATGCATTTTGTGTTCATTCCATTTACTTACACTCGGCATACATGAATGGAGAGAGCGTACATACATTGTCAAAATGTAATTGTATACACTGCCGAGACACACTCTGTATCCAGGCATCTGTTATTGACTTTATTGCCGTTTGGCAGAGAACTGCGCGACGAGACCCGAATGCATCTTGATGCTTCGAGGCTCTTTAAACTTCGTGACACGCGCTTGCCGTTTTGATGAGCATCACATTCCACCCACGCTTCATCACTTGCATAACCTACGTGTTTTGTTAATTGCACGTGAATTATGTTTCTTTCCCTTCTTTTTTTCACGGTTGCATTTACAAATGAGGCTAAGTGTAGTGAACGCTCATTTTAATTCTAATGCCTAAGCTCACCATCAAACAAGCCGTAGCGAGTGCACTTGTGCGCTCTAAGTGCTCGAGTTTTATTTCTTTCTTTGTGAGACTAAACAAAAACTACAGGAGCTGCAGCGTGACAGCGTAATTACTTACTTTCATTAAATTATGGCAATTTCAAATTAAAAGGCAATTTTTCCATCTGTGTTTCTAAGAAATTAGACATGTAGCATGGGATCTTCTTAATTGATTTACACAATGGCATCGCAATTTTTCCCTTTCAAATTTTCTTTGTAAATTGATTGATGGAATGAGACCAGTCGTGAAAAGATAGTGCTCATCTTACAGATATGCACTCATATTTCGCAATATTATTATGAAAAAAAAGTACCATTTTGCTTTGTACATTTATCGCTTGATCTTTATTAGTATAGTTACAGTAAAAGGTTAACGTCTCTCTTTGTCGTCAATTATTTAAATTCAAAATGCCTTTCATATTTGTTTGTAGCTGAATCACTTCAACGGTGTTCCAAATGTACTTACTATATTCATGTTTAATAATGTTTGAATTTATCATCATATTACTATTTGTGCTATTATCACATAGGTGAACAAAATCCTTCTGGCAACCCTTTTAATCAGAGCACGTTGAGGAAAGGCTCCGGTAGATGACACCACACATCTACGGATCGAACCACAGCTTCAATAGGCCTCGATTACGCAAACACTTTACACTCCGTATAGAGTAGTGCACTGTATATTCATCATCTGTTGCACACGCACAAAAAGCTTCACTGAAAAAACAAATACATGCAATTGGTAACTGGGCTGAGATGACAAATCATTGTAAAACAAACTCTCTGCTTTGGCTGGAGAGTAGGTGCCACTCCATTCTCTTGCCTGCCAAGTTGCCATAGTTCACTACTCTACGGGATGTCTGGTAAAATATATGACCGCGCTGCAGTGTGTACAAAATTCCCTGGCACGTGTCATGATGGTTACTTCAAGATCCGACCATGTCCGTCCAGTGCTCGCCGAGCTGGATTGACTTCCGATTGCCAAACGAATACATTAGAAGCTCGCACTCATTATTACACGCAGTACTTGCCAGAAATGAACCACAATACCTTGCTGATCTCGTCAAGAAGCATAAACCATCACCGACGCGAACTCCGGTCATCCTCGCAGCGGCGGATTTTGGCTAGCCATCGAACAAAAGACATTCAATGCATCGTGCACTTTCAGATGCGCTTCTGCATCCATCTCGAATGCTCTTCCTTCCGAAATTAGGAAGCCACTGTAGCTATAAACTTTTAAATTTCGATTGAAAACTAATTTCGTTAGAACTGCTTTTTGTGTTGAGTTTGTTGTCCTTCTCCCGCACCTCTGATGAGCACGGCTGGCTACGTACGGAGCAAAAGAAGTTCAAATTACATACATATGTAGTGTAATAGCGCCGTCTGGTGACCAGCAACGGCAACTATGGTGGACAAACAGTACACACGCCGGTGAGCATATACACGGGTGTGTCGGCAGGGCGGAGGAACTGGGGCGAGGGTCATGGAGGGCCCCATCTGGAAGCCCCTGGAACCTGCTGGTGGGTTCGAGAAGGGAGGTGCGGCCAGGGCGGAGCCAGGCCGCGCTGGGAGCATAGAAGGGGCCCGAGTGCAGGAGCTCGAGGGTACCGGTTCTGGGATTGGATCGTCGCTGTCGTCTCGTCGCTGCCGTCTTCGCTCGACATTGCGCCGCTAGATAGTTGTTGGCTGTCTCTGTCAGCGTCGTCGGTGTTAGACGGCTCATGTTGTGTATAGGCTAGCGACTGGAGAGTGAGTGCAGGCGAGATCTCGCGTGTTCAATAAAGAAGGTGCCTCTATAAACCTCGTCTCCGACTCACTGACACTACACATACATAGTTTCTCATGGTTAACGATCGCCCCAAAACTGTCCCAAGTGGATCATGGCCTCTACGATCTTGTGATGCTGAAACCTATCCCAATTTTGAACAAGAACCGATATCATTGCTCCATATCCATTATGGCCATCCCCGTATGCATTATATGCTTTTGTTTAATATTTTTGTAAGATTTGTAGCTTTACCCACATTACTTGATAAAAAAATTGTTCAGTTCATGATACAGAGTAAAGCGCCATTGAGGTACTGGGTTTGAGCCTTGGATCTCGGTGTTTCTGTCTCCCTCTCTTGTCACCAGACTTCTTCATCAGCGATCATACTCTCTAATTATGTGTGCTTCCCAGCATTCAGTATGGTGTGTCTGGTTTGCATTTGATCCATAATTCATGTGCTCCTTTTTCTGTCTTTCAGTGCAATTCCTAGTGTGCATCTCTGCATGATTTTTCTTTGCACAAATCTATGCTCTTCTAATTTTTCTGCCATTATCCACATCTCGGATCCAAAGTGATGGAAGCCATTATGCACTGATTACAAATTATTTTGTTAGACACGTCGATATGCTGCTTTCATTATCAAGATCAGCATTCTAAAACACTGTCTCCTGTTCTCGTTATCCTCTTAGTTAATCAGTTTGATCACAAGGTGCCTTCCGTAAGTGCTTGAGCTCAACAGAAACATCTTGCTCAACGCGGCTTTATCGAATGCTTGTTTCGGCTATCCACGGTTTACACAATGAGGTCTGTTTTCCGGAACACGGGGATGTTTCGGCTCCACGCGGTTTGACGCTGATAAAAGTCTCATCTCCCCGTCGACAAGAAGTGCCGGGAGAGTGCTGCATCCGTTGGAAGGTGTGAACGAATCGACTGTGAGAGCAATTTATTTACCCCGTGTGTTTTTTTCGTGTGATGTTACACACTCAACATGCACAAAGGCACAACGCAAATGTTCACACACATTGTCGCATGCACCGAGCCGTGCAGTCGTTGAGGACTTCAGACAGAAGGACGCCTAGATGGCGAATCATCAACACGCTCATGGACAACAGCACAAAAGCACATTGCAAATGCACAACGCAAATGTTTACACATTGCCACTAGCTGTCCAGTTGCTGACGTGAGTCATACGGATGACAAGATGGTAAATTGTTAACGTTCGAGTGACAGAGCCAGCGGCGAGTGTTGGGAGTAAGTGCTGCGGTGCGGGAAGTGGAATGGAGACGTGGGTTTTGTGTTGAGGTGAAATTGAAAATAAAAAGTGCAAGGGTGGACATCCTGTAGAATTAGTTAAACAAAGAGGGAGCGGGCGATAATTTCGGACCAAGGAACGCAACCCAATTCTTCCCAAAAGGTCTAATATTTGTTCAACACGGTTTTGCCCAACACGGCATTTTCCATTAACGTAACCCCCGTGTTCAGCGACGTCTGTTCCTCCAAAAGTTGTTTCATTTACCAAACGTGTTGTCCGTGAAGTTCTTTTCGTCACGTTTATCTCGTGTCCATATACCATAGTTTTTTCGTGCAGTTCTTCTTTCACATGTGGTTCCTTTCCGTTGATTGTTATCGTGGCTATCATTGGCGAATCTGAGATGGAAAAATGTTCCCGTTTTACGTTCATAATATATCCCTTTTGCAAACACTCATCTGCATTTCACTTGAGAGGCTCTCAGTGAGTGTGGGAAATGGACTAATTTATAAACCACACCAGCTCCCTGTCGCGTGTAAAGAGAACAAGTTGCAAGTCAGTCCAGCACCACGGCGCTCCCAGCAGCTGGACTCAACGAGACAGGCACTGACGGCCCATCCCTACAGGCACTGATGGTCCATCCCTACAGGCACTGACGGCCCATCCCTACAGGCACTGATGGTCCATCCCTACAGGCATTGATGGCCCATCCCTACAGGCACTGACGGTCCATCCCTACAGGCATTGATGGCCCATCCCTACAGGCACTGACGGTCCATCCCTACAGGCACTGATGGTCCATCCCGACAGGCAATGATGGCCCATCCCTACAGGCACTGACGGTCCATCCCTACAGGCATTGATGGCCCATCCCTACAGGCACTGACGGTCCATCCCTACAGGCACTGATGGTCCATCCCGACAGGCAATGATGGCCCATCCCTACAGGCACTGACGGTCCATCCCTACAGGCACTGATGGTCCATCCCGACAGGCAATGATGGCCCATCCCTACAGGCACTGACGGTCCATCCCTACAGGCACTGACGGTCCATCCCTACAGGCACTGATGGTCCATCCCTACAGGCATTGATGGCCCATCCCTACAGGCACTGACGGTCCATCCCTACAGGCACTGATGGCCCATCCCTACAGGCATTGATGGCCCATCCCTACAGGCACTGACGGTCCATCCCTACAGGCACTGATGGCCCATCCCTACAGGCATTGATGGCCCATCCCTACAGGCATTGATGGCCCATCCCTACAGGCACTGACGGCCCATCCCTACAGGCATTGATGGCGCATGTCTACAGGTAGTAATGGCCCATCACTGCAGGCAGGAATGGTCCATCCCTATGCATGGATTTCTATATAATGTGCCTAAGATGTATATCGCCTCTCATGGGTAATGTATCCCAGCACACTACTGTACGCAGACGGCATCTGTTCTCACTACACAAATATGAATATGTCGTGAACTTCTATCAGAAATGCAATGCATTGGGGACTTCTATCTGAAACAAAGTGTATGTGTGTGTGTGCATAAAACGGCTACCAAGAGAGATGATGCTGCACAGAAGACTTAAGAAGGAATGCTAGGAAACACGGCTGTTGCATTTGCATCTAGAGACGTGTTTTCTTCCTATGCAGCTACAAAATAAAAGCAGCGAGGTGCAGGGCATATGGCTGCAGTGGGCATGATGGTGGGCTGTATATTCAATGGGAAGCAGATAATTAGTGGAAGAGTACATTATTCAAATCCAATTGGTAAATCTAAAAGGGCCTGGAGAAAAATGAAGAATCTGATAAATAAAACACAAATCAATCTATTCTAAACTAAACTTTTTTATTTTACCAGGTAAGGCCCCACTGAGCTATAAAGCTCGTTTTCAGAAGCGACCTGGCCGCAAATGACAGCTCAACGAAGTGGCTTTTCACGTGGAAATTTATAACAGCCAAATACTCTAAACGCATGTTTAAAATGTGGAGGGAAAGACCAGAGGACCCGGAAAAAATCCACGTGAATAGGCAAACTCCAGAAGCACTGATCTAGGGGATAATGTTCATATTCTGTGCACATAGGACTTGAACACATTTGCAGTGCTGCCTACTCTTGACCACTTTACAGCAGGTTGTCTCGCAAGACGTAACCCACGTACCCCACCTTCAAAGTGCTCTATTTGCAGTGATGGTGGCGGACATACGGAGCATAATTACACGCTGCCTCCTCTATTAATACTCACCATATGCCCCACGTATGTCTACGACTGCACTTATGACTAAAGGGGCGCTGCCCTGGTGTGCAAAGGTCACTAATTTGATTCCATCTCCACGTGCAGCAGCAGTTGCAACAATGGGTGTGTTTCTTAAATGTCTCCGCTTCTATCCGCCCTGCAGTATAAATCTCTGCTAGATTGGCAGGTTGCATGTGGTGGGATAGGGTGCGGTTATTCCATTTCTTCCAAGACGGTGTGGCCAGTGTGGAATAGGACAAATACCCTCGAGTGGAGCGCTCTAAGACCTCCCTCTGGCAGAGGCCCTCCTACCAGCAGTGATGTAACAGAGGTCGCAACCGGGTACCCGATACCCGTACCCTACCCGATACCCGGCTACCCGTACCCGGCCGGGTACGGGTAGCCGTTTGCGACCCTGGTGCGGCCGGGTACGGGTAGGCCGTGAGTCACTGGTGAGTAACCGTTTGTCACTCATTTCGGGTAGGGTACGGGTATGGGTAGGGAACGGGAAGCCGTACCCGGCCGGGTACGAGTACCCATTTGCGACCCTGGTGCGGCCGGGTACGGGTAAGGAATCAGAACTCGTTTGCGACCTCTGTGGTGTAAGCAAGCAATTGCAGCGCTGGATCTCTACCTGTTACTCCACTGACTGCACCATGGTTCAGAGGTCACCAAGGCGGTATTCAGCAAGCGCACAGCACTACCCCATGCTGTCACACGTCCATCTGTGTTAGCAGTTCTCACCTTGGCAGAGTCTTGGCTGGGCCGCGTGGCGAGCTGGCAGGAGGGAGCGGCGCGCACCGTGTCCGAGAAGGATAGCCCCGAAGCGGCGAGTAGACCTGCACAGATCGAGAGAGGCAGTCAGCCATATATGCATGCCATTGGTGTACCTTGGGCATTGTCAGCCTGGATATTATTATTAATCGCACACTAATTAGGACAAAAATAATAGTCATGCTATCTTTATTTCAAGGGATATCGGTGAATCCCACGTTAAATAAATAAAGGACGTTTATGGTTTCTCGCGAGGCACTTCATGGAAAGGGCGGTGAAGTGAAATTAAAGCAGACCCGGCCATCGTGTGAGAGAGGCTTTAATTGCCGGTGTCGGTGACACCTGTACACGATCCCTGCTGACGATGCGCTGAGAAGCCTGTGTGCTGTCCCAGACTCGCGTACCTGGACTTTTCTCATTGTCACCCTTGATTGGATTTTAACAGCTCACTAAAGATGAGTCAACCCAAACGCACTAATTAAGTGTAGTATTCCCAAACGTAGATTTTTGTTGAATTAATGAGCATCCAGTCCTTGTGACATTTAATTGCAAGTAACGGATTTCATTAATTAAATCGTCGCTGCCGCCATAATTTCTGTTTCTCCTAATTTAGCAACCGCAGAATAACATTCCTGTATCCCCCCCCCCCCCCCCCAGATCCACTTTGCACTGTACAGTATTTTCTTTGTTCCAATGGACAACTGCTTGCCTTAAAGGTTAAGTTAGTATGTATTTAAATCAATAGCAGCCACAACAGAATAGCATATATCGACCATGGTAATAATGACGTCAGTAAGTGAGTCACGAGCGTCATGAGCAGTAAAATTGAACTTGGCTTATTTGCTTATTATTATTATTAACACGTCTGCATCCTTCAATGACAATTACACACAACAACATAATCAAGGCAAAGTGTGTCTCTCTACACAAAAGTGTTCCCCTGCACAAATGATAAATGAGGGGTGCTCATCTGTCTTGGCTTTATTGTCACATTTGTATTGTACAACGTTGTTTTTTTTTTCCTGTACGTCTCATTTATTTAGCCCGTTTCATTGGCTCTGTCTGGTTTGTGTTATTTTTTTCCCCATCCATTTTATGTGTGTTGTTTATTCTGTACCTCTCGTCCGGTCTGTTTCGTTTGTAATGTCCACCGCTTTTACATTGTCTGTGTCATTTGCGTGTCTGGTTGATCCCATCTGTCTCAATTCTATTGTTGAGCTCGTTCTGTCTGTCTGGCTTATATTGTCTGTCTGGAGAATTTTGTCTCATTTGTATTGTCTATCTAATTTATATGAACTGTCTCGTTTGATTTGTCTAGTTTTGTTTGACCATAACCATAAATGTAGATTAGCTTAACATTTGCACATAATTAATGTCCATTGCAAATAATGCATCCTTAAACACACAACTCAATGCTTATAATGCAAGTGAAAACAGTGATTTTAGTCGATGAATCGTTGCCTCATTCCATGACTAATAAGGAGCTCACTGCACTTAGTTGTAAATACTCAGATTTCCATGCCCATATGGAACTCATTCACTGAGCCATCTTTCTCTGATGTTTAGCACTATTTGTTACAATGATAATTGCCTTGTTAATGCCCATTTCACTATTCGTGTGTTTGTGTAACTCTACATTGAGCAGCATTGATTATGATGTGTGTGAACTGACACTAATTGGATTGAAACAAAGAAATAGAATAAACATTTAAATAGCAGTGTAATGCCACTTATGGAAGAGTAGTAACCTATCTTCAATAAGAAGTGTGGCATCCCAGTTGGGATGTCGGATTTGTTAGAAAATGTTATGTTGTAACACATCTCCAATGCTGATGACTAGTTAAGCATCTCTCCTCCTCTGCGTGGTGGCTTTTCCGTCCCATGAAGATGGCGATAGCAGCAGCTGGCTGCAGTCCCATGTCGCTCCCACTCTTTATCTACTATCACCACACCTCGTACCTTACCCACGTCTCTCTTGACCATACCCTGCTCTTCTTACTTTCATATTTCATTACATCTTCTTTTTAATTATTATTATTTATTTTGCTTTATTATTTTTCTCATCATTACTTTGGTGGTGCCCGAGGATTCGGCGGTGGCAGAACCCTGCCTCCAACCCCGCCTGCCTCCGCGCGCACTGCCCACGCCCCGGGGCGCTGCTACAGATGACAAACGCCGGCTACAGTGTCACACAGCCCGGCTTACCTGCCGCCTCGCTCAGCCCAGGGGCTGTGCGGGTGAACGAGGCCGGCTGCTCCCACGCACGAGGCTGGAGGACGCTGGCTGCATTGTTCACGCAGTGCGGCTTAGCAGCCGTCCCGGGTCCGTTTCCTGCCAGCGACGTCCTCACAAGGCACCTCTTCTGCCACTATCAGTGAGTGGGAGCTTGGCGTGTCCCAGCATCACCAGCAAGTGGGAACTCGACGTGCTCCATTCACTGCTCAACACCACCAGCGAGCGGGAACGTGACGCAGATTGTCCACCGCTCAACATAAGAGACTGGGTTTGACTGCTGCCCAGCACCACCAGCGAATGGGAGCTCGGCGAGGTTTGTCCACCCTGCTGCACCACCTGCGAGCTGCAGCACAGCGCGTGGTCAGCCACTCCACTGGACCTCGTGTTCTTCTGGCCGCTCCATCGTACGCGCCGCGTGCTCAACGAGTGCTTATGTAGGCGTGTACGCACCCGCCACGTGCGTGGGAGCGCGTGCTGACGGCATGTATCTTGGCCACCACTTCCTGGACTTGCTGCTCCGGGCAGCACAGCCGCTGATCGGAGTCCACCCGAATCATGCCCCCCCCAACACCACCACCTGGACAGCGTGGGCTGATATAATAGGGCCTCGACATGCATCATCTCTTCATCACCTGCACTTGGAATCCGCGCTCCTGAGGACTCTCTCTGGCCTCGGGCTTCTTCGCGGTCAACGTCAGAAACTGCATCGGCACCGTGGTTGCAGAGGTGGCAGGGGCCGTTGTTCAGCTATTTCCTCTGATCTCTCGACTATTTCCTCTGATCTCTCGACACCGCGCTCGACACCGCGCTTCTTCGGATCTTCACATCCACCTTTACACATCCGCCTCGGCCTACTCAACTCATGCTCCATTACCAACAAATCAGCCCTCATTCACGATACCATCTCGGACGACCACATCGACCTTTTTCTTATTACTGAAACCTGGTGCAGGCCAGACTCCCCGCCAGCCATCTCTTTGGAAGTCGCACCCCCGGGATATAAGGTTCTTCACAAACTTCGCGCAACTAACCAGCGGGGTGCTGGCTTAGCGGTCGTCTACAATGCTGACTTGAGAATTGAAGAGCTCTACCTACCGATGGCTCCCAACACTTTTGAGGTCCAGTCCCTGTCCCTCACTACTAATACCGAGTGCTTTTCCCTCATCATGGGACCTCCTTTGCCAGTACCAAAATATGATAATAGGTTTTCCCCTTTTTTCTGGCAACAAAACAAGTGTTGAGATGTTTAAAGACTAAACTGAAACCTTTTATAAGGAATCATGTTTGCATTAACCACAATACTTGTGGTCAGAATGCAAACAAAAAACATACTCTGATAATATATGCATTATCTTGGAAACTGATTGGTCCACACCAGAGACAGCTTTCTTTTTTGTGCCTAGTTCCAAACGGTATTAGACCAGAGGACGCCAAAAGTATTGTGGTTAATGCAGACATGATTCCTTGTAAAAGGTTTCAGTTTGGTGTTTTAACATCTCAACACCTGTTTTGTTGCCAGAAAAAAAGGGGAAAACCTATTCTCATGCTTTTCCCTCATTTTCATCTATCGCTCTCCAGATGGCAGCATCACTACCTTCTTAAATGAGCTTTCCGAATTTCTTTACCTCATTCCTAATCCATCTCACAGGCTCGTGCTTACTGGAGTCTTTAACTGCCCCGGCAATATTTCAGCCTCCATTGATAGCCACCTCTAGTCAAACTTGGCCTGCCATAACCTGGTCATCACCAACTCAGGCCTCACCAGAGCTTCCTCAACAAATTTTGAAAGTATGCTCGACCTGGTTCTGGAACCTGACCTGGATCGTCGCATCTCTCCACTAGGAGTTTTCCAAACTGGTTACTCCGACCACCATCTCATCCTATTTTCCCTCCAAATTCCCAAGCAAATCACCATCAAAACCACCCGCCACTCCCGTAATTTCAAGGATATCAAGTTTTCCACTCTACGGCACCCCCTCGTAAATGCGCCTTCAATGTTATTCCCATCATCCGATTCAACTGTCTGCATTCTTCAGCTGGAAGCTGATTTGAGGGCGGCGCTGAACAAGCTGGCACCATTCAAACCACAAACCACTAGGCAGCCTTCCTACGACACTCGCTGGCTCTCAAGAGACGCCATCCTTGCTAAGCGAATTAGGAGGCGCCTTGAAAGGATCGCATCCCGCAGTGGTCTTCCTGATGATCGAGAGCTGCCTGCAGGAAAACCAACGAATATATCCTTGCCTCACATTCCTCCTACATTGATGAACGCATCAAAACAGCTACCGGAAAGCAACGCATCCTTTGGAAAACCCTCAAGGATCTTCTACATCCTGGTAGCAACATGGTCCCTCACCTTAGCGATCCCCTGGCCTCAGTGAAACTTGCCACCTCTTTAAAAACTTACTTCACCAACAAGCTGATCACCATCGCAAACTCCTGCATGTCTACCCTCACATCGCGCCATTGTACACCTCTCCCTTTTCATGAAATTGTAAGCACTCACTCAGACACATTTCTAACCACGTTCAAGCCGGTGTCTTCAAAAGACGTTTTCTCTTTGATTCAATCACTTCACATGAAGTCATCTCCACTCGATGTCCTCCCAGGTTCCTTGTTCAAGCAATGTGCTCCGGAACTCGCCATCATGATCAGGAACATCGCAAATGCCTCATTCTCTACGGGGTGTTTTCCGTCCAACCTCAAATCTGACCTGGGTTCCCACCTGTTAAAGAAACCAAGTCTCGACCCTGATGACCCGAGACTCGCCCTCACCCAGCTAAAACCCCACATCACTTCCTCCCCAAACTACTGCTCCTTCCAGTCCGCT